GATCCTCAAATCAGGCTTTCATAATATATATATATATATATATATATATAAATATAAAGTTGAATTGGAGTAAAGAGCAGAGTGGAAAGGAGGTGAAACAGTTAAACACGGGAAAGTAGAAGATATCTGGAAAAGCAAAATATTTTGTGTGCACCTTTTGATATTGTTTTGTGTTGTTTTTGTACGGGGCACGGAATTTGGACAGGCAGACCGTACAGCATTCGCGCCGCTGACTTCTATTCCGGGCCATATCTCTCATGGTTTCTAACCAACGACAATCCTCATCCTTTGGTCCCCAACCTGGAAGGCGAGCTGCACCTAGCGAAGCTTCATCGTGCCTTTAAGCCATGTTATGGTCTGACAGCTGCACCGCTTCTTTCAGCCTTGCTCGGCACGTGCAAAGAGAGCACGGAAAGGTAGTCTATGTGCAGGCATACGTGATACGTGACCAAGCCATCGGAGGCAGTGTAGAGCGATTAATTCTGTTAGAGAGCGACTATCCACTCCCAACGCACGACGATGAATCTCATCAATACCCACCTGGTGTTCCGGCCAGACACGAGCAATGCTTCGGAGACATCGGTGGTCGAATACAGAAAGTCGATTAGCATCCTCAACCCGGAGGGGGGGGGACAGGTCCATGAAATCCATGTAATCGTCATCAGGGTCTACTATGTTTGTGTCTCCCACAGGCAGCAAACGGTGAAATGCTTGAGTTGGGAAGGAAAATCCTCGAGCGCCACAGTCAATGAGTAACTAATTGTGCGCATGGCTGAACGAATCAGTTGATCGTGTTTTCGAGTTGTTTCCCCTTACGAATTCGCCAGCTGCATGTGCTACCCTCCGGCGGACATGGGTGTTTCTGCATTCTGGAATTCTTGAAAGGCTACGCTGTTCAGCGGCTCGTAAAGATAAGCTTAGGTGTTTAAATAGCGCGACTTCAGCGAATCGGTAATTATCGATCTTCATCTAACGTTTCTGCCAATCAATGTGTCTTCATTGCCGATTATAAATTGTTTCATTGACTGTATCAATTTCATTTTCAACATGTAATTCATTATTCGTGTGACATTCCCGATCGATAATATCCCTTTTTGATCAATTTCAGCGCCACAGACAGCAGGAAATTCGGGCTTCGCATTTGGTGGTATGTATCTTTTTATTTATATTTGCAAAATATTATGGTTTGATATTCTGATCATATGAATATAAATGTTTCTATTTCGGATTGTTTTCTGTTCATTACGACACCAACTACTCCCGAAAAAAAAACATTTTCCACCATCTTTCAATCAGGTCCAATTAGAACATGTTGATTTTTATTGATCACGTGACTGACAAAAAACATCCCATTACAACAGATCTAGTTGATCGATACTGTACTATGTATCTACACTATTGGCGTTTCAAGCGCGACTGTTCTCAAATCCGTTTCGCCATTAAATAACTCTCAGACTGGATAAGTATTTTGGCTCAGTAACTTCGCTGAAATTTCCATTTAATATCTATGTACTAATTCACCGTGATTCACCGCTTTGTTCGCAAACCCTGTCAAAATCGATCAGTTCGCCCTTTTTCTCCCTCATTAGCTAAGCGACGTTCTGCACATCTCGCGCGCGACGCTGTGGAATCCGATGGACCTGAGCCGCCGAAACCGGATAACTTGTTAACGCTGGCCGACCTTCAAAAACCGTCTGGATTCTGGAAGTTGGATGAGGAATTGGCGAAAACCATTCAGCTGACTGTGGACAAGATCAAATCCACAATTCCGCCACACTGTACGTGGGTTGAACAAATGTGATTTCATTG